TGTTTCCAGGCATTTGTGGCTACAAATGGGTTAGGTGCTCCTGGCTTTATGTGCTTCAAATAATCGGTAATACAATGAATGGTGGAATCTTCCAGACAGATTGGAAGGCAAACTGGAAATAAATAAGTTGAGCATTTCTAGCCCTAAACTTTAGGGATCTGAGATTCAGTCTTGAAACTTCTCCTTGTATTGTTTGTTTATATTTGCCTTCTGAAAATATATTCATTAATATATACATGGATTCAGAATATGCACCATTATTTGTTGGCTAATCAGTGGCATCTGAATAATCCACAAGCTCATACACTTGTATGGATGGGGGAGGCCCTCCCATACTTTAAAAAAGATAGTAAATAATTAGTTATTCCTCTGTACTAAGTTCTGCTTGTTACGTGCTTTTGTGTAAAATAGATTTGGAGCATATATACTCAAAGACTGTAATCTTTACATTATTGTTCACTTACTTCTGAGCTTTTTCTAGTAAACTGCTGGAAGTATTTTACATATGATTGACAAGTCTAAATCTATTCAACCACACTGTTTAAACTAATGTTGCTAGACTGTCTTAACCATATTAAAACAATTATACTTTTAAAAATGTATACTTGGGGGTTTGTCTGAGATATGCTTCCAATTAATTTTAGAAGAGAATGAGCAAGAAACCAAAGAAGTCAGCTAAAAAACAGAATTCAGGTCAAGTCACTTCAACAACTGACATTAATGCCGCTGCTGCTGCTCAGGAGCCTGTGGTAAAAGAGAAAGTAGGAGTTGTCCAAGAAGCAGGTGATCATAATGATGAAGAAATTCCTCAACTTGTGCCTATGGAAATAACGAGCTTAGCTGAACTGAAGGTAATTATTTAATAATATCTAGAATCTCCCAGTTCAGTTAAAAGTAAAGGTTTTGAACTGTTTAAATCTTCTGTTGCTTCTTGGGGATCAGTGTGCGTTAATATGCTTGAAGTAAACTGGATTTTTTGTGACTATATCATGAAAGCGACTGTTGAGTGTATGAGGGGGTGCTTTGGGAAGGTGGTTAGTTTGCTTTGGGCTTAGGGTTTTTTTAATATATAAGTATTTCTTTTTTTTTTTTAGTTACCCCCTCTTACAGACAGTAATATGCAACATAACAATCACATAATACAAATTGAGAGCTGGCAGCTTGTATGAATTACTCTATGGACTTAACTGTTGCAGGAGATAATGTGGATCGTGTCATTAACATGTCTGCAAAACTCCCAGGCTGATTATACTAAATTTTAACAAATATCTGGAAAAAATACTTGGATTAATAAAACAGTAACATTTAGAAATTCAAATTAGTTGTACTGCATTTGTGATTGGGACATATCCTTGAACTCTAACTATGTGCTACTTCAGGAATACCCAATGAAAATTATGATTATGTGCAAGCCTGCCAAAAAACCTCATACAGGTTCAAGCTGCACTCATGTATGACAGGCCTACATTAGTGCATGTGATGTGATCACCAGAGTCCTGTTTCCAGAGACCAGTGACAATTACAAATAGAGTTTGACTGTATGAACTGTCCTGGTGACAGCAGCCCTCTTTCATGAGGGCCGTTTGGGAACACATGATGAACTCCAAGGAATACTGGGCATAGTGTCATTCTGTGTGTGTGTACAGCTGAACTTCCAATAGATCTGATCGCTACCCAGTCTATTAAGCCTGGAAATGTGTCAAGAGGAGGACTGTGGTTTTAAGCTAGCAGAGGAGCGCGACTTAACTGGTCAGGAGGATCCTTGCATCTGTCAAATCTGTTTACTTACTTTTTTCTTTTTTTTTTCTTATTATTTTTATGACTTAGTTGTGTTTCACCTTCTGCTTCCAGAGTGAAATATGAACACATTATTTCGGCTAGGGCACTGTTCAGTTAATAAAAAGCATTTGTCTTTTATAATAGATTTCATTAATGCTGCTTCCTGGAAAAAATGTAAAGATGTTTCTTAGGTGGAAGGTTAACTTATGTGTCTTAAATACAGGCAGTGGAACCAAGTCTAGAAAAAGGTGATAGCGTGGTCAAGAAAATGAAAACACCCCTTGGTAAGAGAAAGAAACAACCTTCAGCTCTCAAGACTCCAAAACATGAAGCTGCAGAAGAGTGTGCAGACTTGCAGACAAAACAGAAAAAACCCAAGCAGCTCAGCATGCCAAAGGAAGCAGTAAAAGAGATGAAAAAGACTACCAAAAAACCTGAAGCAAAGTCTTTTGCAACATCCAAAGCTGGCAGATCGATCCAGTCAGCCAAGAAGTCTTCAAAAACACCGAAGCAAGCATCAAAGAAAGTGCGCAAGCTACAGACACAATGAGGTTGTCTGTTGTAATACATTTTATATAGTCATTCACTGGCATCATTTAGTAAAAAATATATTGATGAAGTAGAAACCCTTAAGAAAATCTCATGCTAAGAGGGTGTTTTTTTTTTTTTTACTGAGACCTGTAATGATTCAGTTATGTTTCCTTCTGACTGATGAGCTGGAGTAAATAAACTCAAATTGGCTGTATTTCTTTACCTTTTCATCTTTTCCTGGCCCCAACTAAAAGCATTAAAATTCTTTTAAGTGTCAAAGGGCAGGGAGGGGACTATTCCAGGAGAAAAAAGCTGAGATATTTTGTAATTGATATTTTCCTGAAGCGCAGCTTAGTAGTGAAACAGGCAAGGACTGAAGCAAGATGCATGCATACCAAAAGCAGCAATCTGTTCAACATGGGATTTAAAATGTGAAATAGCTGCTACTATTTTTTCTTAAATTGTTCAATATAATGAAAGCAAGTTGATATCTATCAATCTTATTCCAGACATTTAAGTCTGTAGCCTGATAACAAGCCAATTTTAATGTTATTTTTAGCTATTTTTGCCTAGGGTTATTTGTGTGTTGGGTTTTCTGGTTTGGTTTGTTTTAAAGCACAGACAATTTTATCACTGTATGCTTTGACCATTTATACTTTATGACATTAAGCAAAATCTCCTTACCTTCACTTTTGGGCTTTATTTCAGTTGAGGAGATCCCTGGCTGCTGGTCACAATTCTGTTTTCTTCCATCTGAAAACCAACAAAGGCTGTATGAATTCAGGTGTGCCCAGCCGTGTGAACCAGTCCTATAAAGGCATGAAAAAGATACTTTGCCAAACTGAAAGGTGATAGATTTGAAATTTTGCAGAATAACCAAATTGTTGCTCACTGTATAATTCGTATCCTTCTCGGGATGACAATACAAGGCGGTTTTGTGGTAGAGGAGGGAGGCAGAGAAAATAAGCTTACTTTCAAACTCATTTTGTGAGTTTATTACATCTTGTGCCCTAGGGAGAGATGTTTGGTGTACACAATAAGAGTGTCACAGTGCTAGAACTATGACTTAAATAGCTCTTTTTCTAAATATTCTTGTTTAAGGTTACTAATAATGATTTCTGTTTAGAATTCCTTGAGTGTTTGTTATTCTGTTGTAATTAGATCTGCCTTCTCACTCTACCAATCTTCAGATTAAGCAAAATAGTCATGGTTATTTCTTCTAGGGTTGTATATGATTATTAGAATTCCTACTACCATCAGGCTGTAATCCTAAAATTAGCTTGACTTCCTGAGAACTATTTTTATTCTAATGGAATAAACTCCTATAAACTAAGCAGCTTTATGAACTTCACTCAAACTTGGACAACTTTCTCTTACACTTGTGAGAGGGAAAAAGTTAGGTTATTTAATGTCATAATGTGAGCCAGAGGTGGAACCAGAGGTGTTTTACTGAGGCTAAGTTTAAACTTTAAAAACCAATAGATACCCCAAAATAATCAGGAAGAATGGGAACGTAGGCTTTTTGGTACCGCAGTTTTTCTCAAGATAGAAGTGAAATGAAAGATATTTTACTCTTTAAGTGCTTAGAATGATTTTAACTATTTTAAGAGGATTTTAGCTTGTGTTTTCCAAAGGACAGCTTTTATGGAATAATGTCAGTAACACAGGCAGTCACTAATCAGGAAGTGGCTTTACCTAGTCTTGATTTTTTTTTTTTTAGTGTTCAGTAGGAGCAGTGATAAGTGAACCAAATGCTGTGATAGGAGTTGAGTCTAATAGTAAACCAATAGCACTCACTGGCATTGAAGGAATAGTCTTCCTTAGCAGTATCATTTTCACACTGTACTTCCACACATACGTGGAAGCTGCATATGCTCTTAGGCCTGTCAGACTTCCCTTTGGCTTAATATTTCTAATTACTGGAACAGTGTGGTTTACCATTGTTAAACAATCTGTTAGATATAAGGGCATCATGAGAATATGTGCAAGAGAGCCAGCAGGCAACTGTAGTTCTTGGCCTTGAGGACTTAGGAGTGTTAAGGGATGTACCAGGTCACTAAATGACATGAGTGAACTGAAATATGTATCTTGCCTTTTACATAACTGTTTTACTTGCTGGATTTTTCATCTTGCATTCACTGGTTCCCTGCTTATCAACCTCAAGCTCTATTCTGACTATTCTTTTTAAGCCAACTTCCCCAAGGACATAGTCTGTATGACTTTGCAGATGCCATTATAACTGTCTTGCAAATCTCCGTTGCCCACTATAATGGCTGCCTACTCTTGCATGGGTGGAGGCCTGCAAGATGTACACTCATCTTGAGACCACCTTTGTGAAGTGCCACCCTTCTAGGCTGTCTGAGCAAACTACAGCATAGACCTTACCCCTTCACAAGGTCACACTGCCTCAACTGCAACTGGGTCCAGCTGTGTCTGTGACCCCTGCTTGGAAGGGATACCTCAGCTCCAGGACACTGGCAGTCACTACAGCTGCTCTTCACCAGCTGCTCCTGCTATTCTCTCATGAAGTGGAGCAGCACCTGAGGAAGAGCCAGCTGTGCCAGCCACCTCCCCAGGCAGGGGCAGGAGGAAGGCCTGTCAGAGGGCGTCCAACACCGCTGGTGGGGGAAGGCCAGCTGTAGGAACCGGGTCTCAGCAAACAAGATGCCAGCCACCCCTAGGGCGGCTTAGGACAAGGCGGGCAGCGCCTGCTCGGTGCCGGCAGCCGGGGCTCTCCGCGGGGCCGGTGCTGAGGGCGGTGGCGTTCCCGCCTTTCCCCTCAGCGGCCGCCGGAGCGTGTCGAGAGCCCCACCGCCAGAGGGCGTGGCCCCGTGCGCAGGTGCAGGAGGGGGCGTGGCCTCAGGACGTCCCCTTAGGTGCGGCCCCGCCCTCCCCTCAGGTGCGGGAGGCCCGAGGCGGCGGCGCCGCTCCCCGCCATGGCGGCCCCCGGCGGGCTCGGCCGCTGCGTGGCCGCCTTCTGGCTGGCGTTGGCCTTCGACGCGCTGGGCCTGGCGGTGCTGCTGGCAGGCGTGTTCGCCGACGTGTTCTTCTCCGACCTGCTGATCTACGCGGGCGGCATCGGCATCTTCCTCAGCCTCATCTGGTGGGTGTTCTGGTACGCGGGCAACCTGGAGGTGCCTCTGGAGGAGCTGCGCGACGACGTGGGGCTGGCGCCGCCCAAGGTCCGCAGTGACAGCCTGCTGCGGCGGCTGGTTCACGGCTTCAGCCTCCGACTCTCCAACACCTTCGCTTCAGCGCCGCGCTCCCGCGCTGCCTCCGCCGCTGGCCTGGAGCTGCAGCGCGCCGGGGACCCGCGAGACCGCCCTGCCGACTCCGGCAGGTGAGAGGTGGGAGGGGGCCGGTCCCTGGCGGGCACCGGGGAAGGGAAGCGGGAAGGGAAGCTGGGGCCAGGCAGGAACGTTAAGCTTGTCTAGACCTTGAGAAAGCTCTTACCTGAGGTTCCATTCAAAACTTGTTCTGTTAAACCACTTGAAAAAGTTGTGGGGAATCTTTCTCCACCCAGGTGATGATAGAAACAGAGAGAGACGGCCCCAGTTTGATTAGGCAGGACACTTCCTCTGGACATCTAAGAATGGAAAGGGGCGGCTGGAGTAGAGTAAGGGTGAGTGTGGTGGAGTTGGCATGTGGAGAGCTCACTGCAAGGTCTGGCAGGATACAAGCATAGAATCCGTGAGGTTCTGAACTGATACTGAAGATCAGTTACTGATGAAGAGTTACTGGTCCTGGCAGCAACTCTAAATGCTACCATAAGTAAGTATAGGGTAATGAAATAGCCTTTAACCATGACCCGCATTGAGCTCTTGTGAGGGGAAGCTCCCTCTTCAGCAACATGCAACATTTCTTTCTTGGAGAATGGCAACAAAAAAAGGTGAAATGCTGACTTGTGTTTACTTAACTTAGAGGCAGAGTTGTAGCTTACAGTTTGAAGCCATAAATGTAATCAGTAGTTGAACTACTTGTCTTGAACCTCAGTCATCTGAAAAAGATGTGCTACTATTCAGTGTGCAAAGACAGTATCTAGGTCCGACTGTGGAGCATGATTTGAAGATCATCAAGCCTTTCAAAGTATCCCTAGTGTATAATAATAATATAATATGGCATAGAATCATAGAATAGTTAGGGTTGGAAAGGACCTTAAGATCATCTAGTTCCAATCCCCCTGCCATGGGCAGGGACACCTCACACTAAACCATTTCACCCAAGGCCTTGTCCAACCTGGTCTTGAACACTGCCAGGGATGGAACATTCACAACCTCCCTGGGAACCTGTTCCAGTGCCTCACCACCCTAACAGGAAGGAATTTCCTCATATCCAATCTAAACTTCCCCTGTTTAAGTTTTAATGCGTTACTCTTTGTTAGGAAGAAAAACATGCTTAATTCCTTGAAATTGGAGGTTGGGGTAGGAAGTTGAGCTTTCACTTCACTATGTAAAGAAGTCCTTTTCTGAAGGAATTGTAAAAACAATTTTGCACTAAGTGTCCGAACTATACAAGGATTCTGAACATCCTGCAGTTCTGATTCACTGTGTACAAGGTCAGCTTTCTCTGCTGCTCCTTGAGACTAAATCTTGAAGCTACTGTTGGTTACTGGAAAGTTCATGTGGAAATCATCTTTTTTTCATAACAGCCACAGAATTTTCTTACGCGGAAGTTTTAGCAGTAGGGAAATAGCATTTAGATGACTATTGCTGAATAGAAAACTTGCAGAAGGCGGAAAAGAACAGCAGCAAGCTTGAAAAGATTTGGTACTGCTATTTGGTTTATTATTAACTATTTCTGCAATTAGAAAACAGGCTGTTGAAAATGAGTCATTCTTCCCTTTTCAGATTTCTTTTTTTTCCTTAAATGGATTTAGAATTGACAGAGGTCCATATTTTCAGGGAAGAAATTACAGCTGAAATGACCATGCCTAATCTTTTTCATCTAAAGGTTATGGCAGCTGTAGGTACTGAGTTCAGTAGGTAATATGCTATCTCTGTAGATGGTCCTACTTTCAAAATGTATACATAGATGTGGTTTTGTTGTAATGAACTTCTAGCAGTGAATTTTATTTTTGTTCAAATAAAATATTTTATTCAAAAACATTATTTTTGAATGTTTCTAGTCTTGTAATTGATTTTAATTAGAAATAATCTATGGTTTATTGTTTCCGATAAAGGCAGATAGAGTGCTTTGTTACAAGTTCTTCCAAGTAAACAGCAATTTCTAATGCTACAGTAAATGAACTTTGGTACAGTTGCATTAGGAGCTGTAATTCAGAAGGAACCAAACCAGGAGCGTATTAAAGTTATGTTACACATTGTAACAAAACTTTCAGCGGTTGCACCTCCAAAGGTAATGCAGGGTTTCCTTTTGAAGTTCATTTGAAGTACCAAATGAACTTCAAAAGGAAACCCTGCATTACCTTTGGAGGTAATACCTTCTCATAAACAGCCATATGAATCAGTTCATTTCTTACTGATAGACCAGATCCTCTTCCCATCTGGAGGTATTTATGAATTTAACCAAACGGGTTAAACATGTTTGGGCAGATATTATCAAGAGAGAGAAGGGGGAAAAACCACCACCATCACACACACAAAAACCAAAACAAAGCAAACAAACGAAACAAAAAACAGGAAAAAAAAAACCACACCATACTGGCCATTAGAGAAAAAAAAAAAAAGTTTCCCAAGTTACTAACTTCAAAGTTCTCTTAACATAAAAAAAGCAACATTGCAAGTGTTTAGAAAATTAACTGTTTCCTAAATAAGGAAGTTTGTTACAGGAACTATTAATGCATTCTTGTCATTTTTATAGTTTTCTGGTTCTTGGCATTAGTAACTTTTTGAAGTTATTAATGGAATACTATATGCTGTTCCCATTTCCTATCTTAGAAATTATATAGATGTAGTAGAAGTGAATGGGAAGGGTGAGAATTCTCAAGATATGGAATGTTTCTATTAAAGGATCCTATTAAAGAAATAATATGTAGATTAGGATCCTTGAGCCTGAAAAGAGATGCAGAGTATAAAAGATTTTGGAGGTCTCTACAGTGAGAAGTGGTATGGAAAAGGTACTAAGGCAATGCCTCTCTAAAGACAAAGCAAGCACCAATGTGTTGTCACATGCTGTGTAACTGAAGGATGGGGTTATTTGACATGGGGCAGTGTGACAGATAAAAACAGAAGAGACGCAAAGATAGTATATTTGGCCCAGGAAGACCTGGGGCAGTAGGTGCTGTTGAGATGATATCCTGAAGAGGTATTACTTATATGTTTGACATGGTCACTCTTGGAGATCAGGTGTTGACTTGATGGGTCTTTTAATTTGGTCTCAATTGGCTGTTAAACATGAGAAGAAATACTTTTAAGACTGACTTCAAATAAGAGTTTAGAGTTATATATGACTACTTGTTCTAAGACTATTTTGGAGTAACCTTTTCTTAATGTATTTTCTTCAGGATTTGTTGAAGATGCGACTATTGAAGTTACTGCCTCTAAAAGTGGAGGAAATGCTGCAAATTATGGAAAGAGATTTCCCTGCTCAATGCAGTAGGATTCTCTCATCATGGAATAATCTCTGCAAACATTGTGGACTCTCTATAAAATGGACAAATAGAGCCATATCTCTGCCAAATGCATGTATTTCAGCATTGGACTGGATATGTTTTGAAATGATGGAAAAGCCCCACAAGCCCCCCTAAATTAGATCTCTTAAGAAGTGAGAACTAAAGAAACAAACCTGATTCATGGAAAAATCACTGCAGCATGTAATAGAGATTTTATTATTATTTTTAATAACCTGAGAATGTTTGGATAAAAAGCTCTTGCACAATGAAAAGCTCTTGCACTGTTTTACCAAGGTCTGGAAGTAAAACTACTGTGAATTTTTATGATGCCAGTGCAATACTTTTGTTTGTAAGGGTGCTTCTGAAATATCTATGTTAAACTACTGATGCAAAGTTGCAAATATAGTAAAAGTTGTTTATAGTGTAAATAACAATTTAGAGTGACTCTTGTAAATTTTCATAATTATTTTGGAATAACTTGGAGTTTGAGATTTTTATAAGTGGGCAAGTAAAAGTAACTATGTTGGCACACCAGTACATTCTTCATAGTTACAAGTGATGTAATATGGCTAAGAAAAGGTAGTTTTAGTGCAATAATATTGGGAATTATTTTCCTAAGTCTAATCACTTGTGAAAGAGGATACCACCAAAAAAATCCCCTGTTGATTAACAGATACTCTGATGCTTTATAAAATACTAATGAATTTACACTTAGATTTAAGTGAAAAATAGCACTTGGGGAAAGATTTATATTAAAGGTAATGATACCTGAAATTCTTGTGTGGAGAAATTCTTCATGAGTTCCTCTGGTTTTGAACTTACATGAGGAGTTTGAGTCCACCATTGGCAAATACGGGTAGGTCTTAAAATTTTAATGTATGATTGGTTTTATGCCACGCCTTGTCAAATACTAGAGGTGGCTTTAAGGAAAATGGTTACTAAGAATACTGTGCTTGTACTTACTTCCTTGTGAACTCTTGCAATGGCTTTCAATGTTCTCATAAATTATTGGAGTAACTGCTTACTTTTCTATGCATATGCTGATTTTTAAATGTTCCAAATGCTCAGTTTTTCAGCAAGGTTAGATGAACACTAAACTTGTAGATCTATAATGTGATTTCTTTTTTACTGACTGCAGTTTTTAGGAGGTGTGTGCAATTGTTTCCTCCTTTTAGAGGAGCTGCAATGTGACACCACTGTGTTGTTACAATGGTCTGAAAAAAGAAGCCAAACCAGCTCCTTCCTTAAAGCCTATAGATCCCTGTTTCCGTGTCATTTGCAAGATTGTTGTTTTTCTGTTTTGAACAGAAAGAACTGCTTTTTCTGATTCCTTATAGTTTCACTTGTAAACTCAATCATGAGATGTAATGGTTAAGTGGGATGATTAGTAGCAGCTATAAATTAAACAGAACATTTGCGTGCATCCATTCATGTACTCAGTCTGGTGAAATTTTTAATCATAATGGCAAGTGAATTGGGCAGGGCTTTGAGTTCACTGTAGATTACAATGTAATTAATCTTTAATCCAATATCAAGACGTTATGATTGTTGCATAAGATAGTAGTTAGAATGGCTTTGGCTGTTGCAATTTCACTCAAAAAAATACATGGGATTCAAATATTTAAAACTGGAGCATTGTGTGTGTGTTAAAAATTTAGTATAGAAGTTGGCACCTCAGTTCAGGAAGGTGCTAATCATAGAGAAGTGCTGAAATGTTACTAGTATGGTGTGTGTAAACAAGGAGATAAAAAATACTTGCTGTGGGACAGTGTAACTTGTGAATTCTGATCCTCTTTTCTTGAAAATGTGAATGGTTACTGTTTCATGCCGTCTGCCTTCTAAATAAGGAAAGCTAATACTAAATAGAAACTGGCAGCTGAATTATTAGCAGTTAAACATTAACAAATATTTTAAACTATTTTAGTGTCCTGTTATCCTTATCAGTTGTAGCTCAATGCAGCACAAAGTCCATTAAAAGAACTTCTATATTGTTGATTGAAAAGCAGCTCTTCTAGGTGTTTAGGACCGTTTGCTGTTGTGTGAACACAGAGCTTTGCATGTAAAGCTAGAACTCCTTTAGACTTAAAGGACAGTCCTATGCATTCTGTTGAAAAACATCACCAAAATCGCAAAGAGCCAGACTGTGGTTACAGGAGTGCTTTTTGTACCTGGTTAAGCCTTAAAACTAGCTCAAAACAGCATCCTGTACTCCATTAAAGGGAAAAAAGCCCATCCCCTAGCTTGTGACTACATAGAAGGATTAAATGCTTGCTGTCAGACTCTAGAGTTCGAGCCCCGCACTCATTGCTCGGCGCTGACCACCGGTACCCGTCGCCTGTCGGCGCGGGGCTGTCCGTGCTGCCGTTCTCCAGCCGTCCGTGGTAAAATTGGAACGGCGCTGTTCGCAATCCCCCAACCCTCCCCTCGGTCCTCCCGCACCACCGATGCGCGGCCAGCATAGCGGCGGCTTTTCCAGCCGCTCATCTCTATGGTTTGAAGGGAAGCGTGCTCTCCGCTTCCGGCCGGTAGCGCGCCCTTTCCGCCCGGGAGCGGCATGTGGCGGCACGGGCAGGCGCCACGCGAGGGGCGCGGCGCGCGGAGGCGCCTGCTCCGGTAACGGGGCGAGCGCTGCCGCCACGGTCAAGGTAAGGCAGGGGAGCGGCGGGGCCTCGGGGGGCCGGGACGCAGCTTGGGAAGCGGGGGGAGTCTCCTGCCTGTCCGCGGAGGAGAGGGGGTGTCGGCCGGTGGCCTCCGGGCGGGTCGGGCTCCTGAGGGTGGTCGGGGTGAAGCCCGCGGGTGCTCACGCGGTTTCACCTCTCCTCAGGCGCGGGGCCGTGACCATGCTGGGAGGGGATGAGTTCATCAGCTCGCCGCCCAAGAAGACGGTGCGATTCGGGGGGACGCTGACGGATATCTTGATGAAGTACGAGAAGGTGAGTTGGGCCCGCCGCTGCCGCCCGCCCGCGTGCGGTGCCGGTGCGGAAGTGCCCGGTGGCATTTCGGTGTGAAGCCTCGTTTCGTCTTGCACAAGACCGTGTCTGAGGGCTTAGGGGGAAAACCTGAGGGCGGGTGAGTGCCGGAGGCTTGTGCCAGGCGGTGCTGTTGTGCGAGTGACAAGGTTCCCCTGTGAGTCAACTGAGTGGCGTCCTGGGCTGATGTGGAGTTGGCTAACGCCAAACGGTACAGAGGGGTAGCGTCTGTGTCTGCAAGGGAACAGCTAAAACCGACCCAGCTGCCTCAGTTGTCTTACAGGGACAGCACTCTGTAACTGTTGCTTCAGCCTTCTCTGATCTTTCTCTCTTACTTGTATTCTTCATGTCACTGAATGAGGTTGTTCAGAGGTGGTGCAACTTATCTTCTTTTTCTGCAAAAAATACGGGTATTATTTACTTGTTTTTCTTTCCCTTGCTAGGGTGAGACCACGGATTTTGAGTTGTTGAAGCATCAGCTGTCAGATCCAGACATCAAGGTGGGAGTTCTGGAGTAAGAGGTCTGATGTTTTGAAGTAGTATAGTATAGTCAGTCATTGGGCAGGTTGTTCTGGTGCTTACCCGGATCCTTTGCTTTAAACATTTAGCTGCATTTAACAGCTTTTTGCTTTGTGGAAAGTGTCAGAAAAAAAAAGAAAAAAAAATCTGTTTATACATTTATGTATCTTATAGGATGTTGATAACTGGTGTCTCATGCTTATTGACCCTTTGCTCTAGAGTGATAAACTTTCTGCATTGTGACAGGGTCTTTGTTCAGATACCATCTTTCTAGTCATTTACACTTATTTCTGCAGATACTTCTGTAGATCAAACCAAAGTTTCTGACTCACACGGCCTCAATTTTTACATTCTCCTGTTCTCACAGAAAGCTTTTTTAATTAGGTAGTGAAATATGTATGCGTTTAGTATTTATACCCAGAAGTATTGTTTCGTGGCTCTTGTGGATAGCTGTAAGTAGCAACTACATTTGCTTTTCCTTTTGGTCTGTGTGTGTCGTCCCCCCTTAATTAAACCACAAAGCTGTGAGAAGAGTACTGTGGAAAGCATAATACGTATGGAGTTTCTTTTGTCTTCAAAGAGGACATTTAGTAAAATAATTAGTATTTAGGAGGCCTTGTGAAGTGTCCAGGCAAAATCAGTGTAAAATTTCTGTGTTGATTTGCTACTGTTTCAGTATCTCTTATTTCAAGACTTGAATGTCCCTCTTGCTTAAACTAGCACAAGAAGAAATGAAAATTAGGACTGGATGCTGTTTCTTACAGTGGTGTTCTATGTGAGTGAGGTTTGCATGGCTTGCTTGGACTGTAACTTCAGTCTTCCAGACAGGCTGTTGGTATAGGAGTTTTATCCATTCTCGCATTCAAGAAATTTCATTGGTGAGGACACCAGTTTTCAGCTTAAAGACATTCCTTGCATGTTCATTTGAAAAAGATTTCTATTTACAGTCTTTGACTTTTATAGATTTTATTTTCTAGTAATAGGTAATACTGTGTATTTTTTTTCTCCTGCTTATTTTAAGGATGCCCAGATCATTAACTGGCTGCATGAATTTCGAGCGTCTGTTATATATTTGACCAAAGAGCATGAACAACTGGTCAACGTTTTGCTGGTAAACATCTGCTTGTTATATGGGAAGATAAAGAGTTTAGTACTCAAAACATCTTTCTTTGACATCTTGGTCTTTGCTTACTTTCAGAAGCTGCCATGGTTGAGAAGAAGCCGTGAAGTAGTGGAGGAATATCTGGGTTTTCTTGGCAATCTGGTGTCAGCACAAACTGTCCATCTTCGGCCATGCCTCCGGATGATTGTGTTGCAGTTTGTCCCCCGTAAGTTACTTTTCCCTTAATCTTCTTTCTTTGAGTATCAGAATGCCTTTCCTAGATAAATTCTGTATAAATACAATGCATGCCGATTAATTACTGGGTTGGTTTTCTTATCCTGTTGATTAACTTGAATAGCTGAATTGTGATACGCGGTTTTCTGTATCTAGATGTTAGAGGACATACTCTAGTTGCTCATACAGACCCCATTTATGGAGATGTCTTGGAAAGGGATGAACTGTATGATGTTGTTACTGCTAAAGAACAAAGGCTGCAGCAAGGATCATGTCTGATGTTCTTAAGAACCTTCTGGTTCTGTGAACAAAACAGTCTTTTCTATGAGCTTCTGCTTATTTTAGAAGTTGTTTTGGATAATTTTAATGTTTTAGTCTCGATGATGACTGTTGTCCAGTGTGATTGATTTGACATTGAAACTGTTGCCTGTAATATTTGTAATATTTGTATAATTTTGATATAATCATTTCACTTTTTGCTAGCTCGAATAACAATCAGAGAAGATGATGTGGATATTTCAGATTCTGATGATGATGATGAAAGTGAGTATAAAAAAAAGCATGGCTTATATATGCTGCTGTAATACCTTTAGTAAAGAATTATACAATGCATACTGCTCCTATTTTGCAAAAAAACATTAAATCTTCAAATTTCCAAGTCAGAGACTTTCTTATACTCGAATCAGTGGGGTGTGACGCACTCCATTTACTTTCAGAATATTCTTGATGCAGTATCTGTAGGAATGAGATTGAATGCACAGGAGAACATTCCTATTCCTAGATTGTTTCAAAGTCAAAGAAAATGTAGGAGTTGTTTTCCATTTTATTTACCTCAAGAAAACTAGGTAGTTTGAGGGATTCTTGGGTCTTTTTGTGGTTGTCTGCCTGGGGTAAGCTCAGCTAAAATCAATATTGATTAATAAATTGATTCATATCAATTAACAGTTCATAGAATAGTTAGGGTTGGAAAGGACCTTAAGATCATCTAGTTCCAACCCCCCTGCATGGGCAGCGACACCTCACACTAAACCATGCCACCCAAGGCTCTGTCCAACCTGGCTTTGAACACCACCAGGAATGGAGCATTCACAACTTCCCTGGGCAGCCCATTCCAGTATCTCACCACCCCTACAGTAAAGAATTTCTTCCTTATATCCAATCTAAACTTCCCCTATTTTAAGTTTGGCCCCGTTACCCCTTGTCCTGTCACTACAGTGCCTGATGAATAGTCCATCACCAGCAGCCCTATAGCCCCCCTTCAGATACTGGAAGGCTGCTATGAGGTCTCCACGCAGCCTTCTCCAGGCTGAACAGCCCCAACTTTCTCAGCCTGTCTTCATACAGGAGGTGCTCCAGTCCAATGATCATCCTCGTGGCCCTCCTCTGGACTTGTTCCAACAGTTCCATGTCCTTTTTATGTTGAGGACACCAGAACTGCATGCAATACTCCCAAGTATTAATTGATATGAACAGTTTTTGCTGTTTTCTGATTCAGTTTTCTGTAACCAAATGCGTAACAGCACTTTTTTTGTTTCTCTAGACCTTTCTGAAAACTTTAATACATGCCATAGAGCATTGCAAACTGTTGCAAGATATGTTCCTTCGTAAGTATATAATCCCATGGTTTTGTATGCCCTTTCCTTGCAGATTTAAAGCTCGTGAACTGATTAATTAGTTGGGTTTTTTTTTCTCTTAATCAGAAGTATAACAGTTTCATTGCATGATTTTTCCTAATAGTCACTAATTGATGGAATGCTGTATCCAGTCATTACAAAATTTCCGTATGTATCTGCAGCTGAAAATCCTGTTAATGGAAATTGGAAGCAGGGAAAGTTGTGTTCATAGCAATACATTTGAAGTAGCTTCTAAAAAGTCCACAGTGAAGGTTTGCCACTTATTACCTGTTTGGTGATCCTTGCAAAAACCAGATTTTATACAATTACTTAATCTTACTTGACAGTAACTTCATTTTATTCCAGTCTGTCTTGAGAGTGCTGCAGCTTTAAATATTTGCTCTTGTGGCAGTAACCTAGTGCTTCTTGCTTGTTTTTTAAATTGCAGGACACCACAGTTTCTCATGCCAATACTTGTGGAAAACTTTCCTTTCTTTAATAAATCAGAAAGAACTCTGGTAAGAGCTATGAATATTTTTATTTATTGGTTCATTTGTTTTTTTAATGTATACTTTATAACATGACAACTGATTTAGTGGTGTCTAATGCAGATTAAGTGTGTTATCTTTTATCTCTATATATATGGGTGCATCTGTTTAGTATAAGGTTGTCCAAACATACTTAAGTTCCTTGTGCATAAGCATTATGCTAGTCTTTAATGACATAACTGCATATCTTTTCCACAGGATTGCTTTCTTAATCAATGCACAAGATGGACCT